GTGCACAGTCCCAAGGCAAACACATACCAATTTACCCTCAATTTTTAACAAAATCAAAACAACCAACTGTAATAATTTACTGCTTACTCTACAGCCATTGGCCTTCCCCATGGTCTTATCTGAGGCTTTAAAGACAAGCTCTGTATAAGGCATAGCCAAGTATCTTTCCCATTTCCCCAGTGTCCATTTTCACCTTGACATCTAGAGATAGAGTCTTGATTTCCCTACACCCTCAGAGGCCCTCTAACTTTCCCTGAATTGATCACATCCTTAGCTAGTTTATTTGAGATAGAGGCAAACTCACTGTAATCCAATCCTTAGGGAAACCCCTAGATTGTTTTTTGTTTTTGTTTTTGTGTGTGTGTGTGTGTGTGTTTTTTTTTTTTTAATGGCTGGCAAGGCTCTGGCTTCTCTCCAGTTCCTCAAAGCAGTAACCTCCTCTCATGATAAAACTGTACCCACTTGCTAGAAACTCAACAACTTTGTTCTTCCCTTTCTTCATAGCTCCCAGATGGCCACCAGCTGGTCTGGGCTATTTCTTGCATTCTAATCCCTTTATCCGTCCTCCCGGTTTTCTTTTTGATCTTCGTGTCTTGCCCCTCCTCCTTCTAACAGCCACCATACTATTATAACCCTCTTTGGAAGCACCTATTTTTTAAGAGAATTTGAGGACTTTTTGGAGCATTACTTCTTTTTTTTTTCTTTTGTATTATAAGGAAAACCAGCTGCAGGGGGATGTAGGAAGAAAAGCTATCTCCTAAAGGAGAACAATAACCTACTGTGAGAAAGGGGTCAGAGCAGACTATGTTCCCAACAAGGCTACAGGAGGACAAATGAACCCAGAATGTTCCAGAAGCCACACCTCGGTCTTCTAGCCATGCTCAGCACTCTTCGTGGGCATGGTGAGGTGTCTGTTCCCCTCCCTGGCTTTCTCACCAGCTGACCAGGGCGATGGATAAATGCACCATTTGTTCTTGTTTGAGTGCTTTTCTGTTCTAACCCCCTCACAGCCAGAGAGTATCGCCCCGTATCCCCAGTTGTTTGCAATATGGAGCTTTGACTGATTCACAAGGTTATAGCTAGAAGACTGTCTGAAATAACACACTGAAGAAGCCAAACTAAGGTGTCTGTGTCTTCATCTGTGTTTGTCAGGCCTGTGAGTGTCATGTTATATGCATCTGAGGCAGCATTTCTGTGAGGTGCTGGTGAGGTGTCCACGGTGACGAGTCTGTGTGAGTCTGTCTGTAGGGGTGGTACTGCCCATGCAGGGCGAGCATGGACATATCTGCATGCCGAGCTTGTGTCTATATCCGTGTACACACAAGGACCTGTGCAGGGTGCCTGTGTGCGTGTGTGTGTGTGCATGCACAAGATCCATGTCTGATTGTGTGCATGAACAGGATTTGCGCATGACTGCACATGTGTGCACATACAAGATCTGTGAGTGTGACTGCATGTGCACAGGCTACTTGTGTGTAATGGCATAGGGGATCGAGGTGTGATAGTGACTGTGTGCTGTCCATCTGGATCTGCAGATGGTGCTTGGGGGTGACCACGCTATGCCTATGTGGGTGTCAGAGGGTAACATGTGCTGTTTTGTAGGATGTCTGTGAGTGTCTGTGTTGGGAGATTGTGGGGTGAAATCAGGAGATGCATTTGGGCAAGTGTCACAAAGGAAGTCTGTGGAGGACACGTGAAGGGAGGTCTGCAAGAGTTCGGAGGGTATATTTTGAGATGTTTGTGGAGGACATTGGGGGTGTTAGTAAAAGTGTCAATGTGGTGACAGTGGGGTATGTGTGGGGCTGTGGGGCATGACTGCAGCATATCTATGTGGCGTCTGTGGGGGTGCATGTGAGTATGGAGGATATTTCATTCAGGAGCACGTAGGCGTATTTGTGGGTGAGTCTGTGAAGAGTCTGTACATCTGCCTTTGGGGATATCTGGGGGGGTGTCTGTGGGCAAGTTTCTGTGGAGGTGGGATGGGTGTGGGGGTGCAGATCTGTGCACCTCTGTCCATGAGTGGGTGGGTCTGTGGAGATGCAGCAACGGCCTCAAAACCTTCCCACAGAAGTGCACTTGGCCTTGCCTTAGTGCCTCACTGTCCCCAGAGAGTGACTGTGACAGGCCGAGTTCCCCACAGCACGCAGCTCTGTCTGGGGGACCCCCGGTCACCAGCAGTGATTTGCTATCAACTCTCCTGCACACCGCAAGTCACTGAGGCCACAACCTGACTCAGGTGTTACCTCCCTCCCACGGGGACCAGGTGCGGGCTCCTGCTCTGTCCTGTGGGGCAGACATCACTGGGTGGCCCTCACCCTATTCCCAGGGCACCCACCAACATACCTGGCAGGCCTCAGCTAACACAAGCACGCACACCTTGTCGTCCCGGGGACCACCCGGAGAGACAGAAGAGGGAGCATGTCCAGCACCTGTCCACCCAGCCAGCTTCCAAAAATGATGTCACAGAGCACAGGACACTGGATTTCCATCCACTTCTCTCCAAAGGGTTTCATTGGTTCCACCTAAAAGGGAGTGTCCTACCAAGATGGTGCTTTTCACTTTATCCAGCCAGCTGGCCACTCACCAGGGCTACAACCATTCAGAGGAGGCCATTGTTGGCAGTGTGGCATTTATAGTTCCCATGTGCCATGTTGGAGTTCAGCATTAGCAACGAAGTCCTATCAGTGGCTCCATGATGTGGCTTGTAGCTGCTCCCAGGTTTACCAATGGCGAAAGAAAGGCAGAGGGAGGCCACACCCCTGCATGAGCTCCTTCAGGGCCCAGAGATGCCCCCACTAGCCTGGGCCCCACCAGCCCCTCTTCCGCAAGCCTGCCAAGGAGCTCCTGGGTCACTCCAGCTACAGTGGCTACCGTTTCAGAAGGGAACCCAGGGGACCCAAGCAAGAGCAAAAGCTCGCAAGAGGCCAGGTGTATTTACCTAGAGGTCCTGAGCAGGACACCTGTGCTTATGATGAGGGGCATTAAATGCTCTTTAAGTAGAGCTCTCGGGTGCCACCACAGAGGGATTTTAGCCACCTATTTCTTTTGTCTGAAGAAAGATATTTTACTAATTTCAAAGCCAAAATCTGGGGGCATTCATTTCCCATGTACCCCTTCCTACTCATTTTATTTTTCTTTAATGCCTATTTATTTATTTATTTATTTAGAGAGAGACGAGGGAGGGGCAGAGAGAGAGGGAGATAGAAAATCCGCAAAGTCAGCGAAGAGCCTGATGTGGGGCTTGAACTCACAAACTGTGAGATCATGACCTGAGCTGAAGTCAAAAGTCGGACACCTAACAGATGGAGCCACCCAGGCGACCCCCCCTTCACCTTAGATAAAACTTCTCCAGTTTTATCTAAGCACCACAGGTGGTCATTCCTTCACCTTTTTGTCCAGCTGACACAGGAGGGCTTTGTTTGTCCCTTGGCAGGTGCTGAGATGCGACCTGAGCCCCAACCCCAGGATACCTTCCCTTGTTGCCTCTCAGTCAGATGAGCCCGGTGAATAATCTTCCTTGTCCTCCTTCTGGATACACCTGAATTACCTCATTCAGATTGCAAAATCCCTCTGGGAGTGAAGGGAGATAGGTACAGAGGAGGGAAGGGGAGTAGAGATTGCTGTCTTCAGGTTATGCAAGAGGACACGGGAGCGGAGGTAAGTATCTGACAACAGCCACACTGCAGGGAACAGAGACAGGGACCAGAGCTGAGGGCTGGCATCTCTCATGCCGTCAGTCTCCTTCCCCAGCTACCACATCTAGATGACAGGTGGGTCCTCTCTAACAGCATCCATTCTATTGAAAGATGAGGCATCGCTCTACAGCCTCACAACAGGGTGGTGGGGGAGAAAGCCCTAGGGGCGCGCAGACAATGAATATTACAGGAGGGCTGGGTGCAGTGATCAGGCAGACTCTGGAAGGTGGGACAGACACTGAGGTGGGAGAGGAATTTGAAAAGCCAGGACAGAGGGAAGGGCCCCTTCCAAGTGTGCAGTTTGTAAGCCAAGATGTGGAGGAAGGCAGGGTCCTGAAGATGGCCCACCTTAGAGCATGTGAGGAGAGCCTGTCAGCAGGCCGGGCAGGGCAAAGAGGAATGGAGAGAAGGGGCAAATAGGAGAGGGAAGAGACTTCCCTGGGAGGGATGGGGATTCCGTGCTCCCAGAGCATATGTCACAGATCATATGTCATAAGATCATATGTCACGAGAGACACATGATGTGTTGGGTGTGGGTACTTTCAGTATCTGTGGCAAAGACTGGCTAGTCATTCTCCATATGCACTTCCCTCTTGGTGACTGTTCATCTGTCCCAGCTGCCACTACATTTAAGTTGACAGCGTGACTGACTTCCGGAACATGGGCCGAAATGATCCATGGCAGTTCTGGGCATGGTCCCCAAATCCTCCTGTGTGGTCGTTCACTCATCTACCTTCCTTAATATGCCGCCCAGGTATAGGGAGCCCAAGGCCCTAAGGAATCACCACACCAAGGCCACACACCACATGCATACAGTGAACTGTTGGGTGAGCAGGAAACAAATTTCTCTTGTGAGAAGCCATCAAATTCGAGGCATTGGTTGTTGCAGCAGCTCACCTACCTAATGCAGACTGGTGATGTCTCATCTGATCCTCCAGAAACTGTGTGCTGAATTAACATGTTCATCCTGACTTTGTCCATGATGAGTTTTGGTTTCACTGCTCTCTCCCCTGAACCAAGCAGAATGACTGGATATACCCTCAGAAAACATTTGAGTGAAGGAATTAACGTCCCAACTTCGGAGGTCCATAGTGGTCTTGTAGCCACAATAGGGGTGTGTTGGAATGGGAAAACAAGTCTATCAGGGAGTGGGAAAGGAAAGGAAAAAGCTAGTTCAACTCCTAAGCTATCGTGAGAACATTATTCTTTTATCCTAAGGCAGTCATTACATAAAGAGGCTATGTCCTTGCTTAAAAATGTATTATCCCCTTCTTTTGAAATTAGATTTAGAACTTCAATATTTACCTTAATAGCTCACCTACCGAAGCCAGTGACAGAATGTTCACACGTCCCTGCAACACAGTTTTAAAAAGAAAGGAAAAATAAATTCTCTTCAGAAGAGCCAACACATTCCATTTATTTCCCAGGTTCTAATAGCGTGTGCACTCTTGGCAGAATCAACAAGCAATGTTTTTCCAGCGAAAAGGGGGTAGCTAGTTTTTCAGGCTTCTCTGTTTCTCTCGGAGCAGATGGGCTTTCCTATTTAGCAGGTGGAGCTGCCATAACCTTGAATGGGACATGCGCTCGGCCAGACTGCACCGTCCAAATGCCCAGACCTAGATCATGGGGGGAGGTCCCTGTTGTGTGTGACTGTGCAAGAGGACCTTGATCATTCCAGGACATTTCTCATAGTGACCTGTACTTGGAACTACATTTGATAGAGCGAAAATCACTGGTACAATACCAGGTGTGGCAGGAGCAAAACTTGCCCTCTCTGGTGTGAACTAAGTACCGTTGGTTTGTTGAGGAGAGCTGGCTACAGTATTTTCCAGTATCAATGTGACTCAAGAAATCTCCTCCAAAAAGTAGCCCGTGCCTCGCACGCATTCTTTCATTATGTCTTCACAATAATCCTGTGGCACAGGTCCTTTGATTATTTCCATCAAATAGACTGAGGCAGAAAGAGGTGGAATGGTGTACTTAGGGGACCAGAGGTCCTAAGCAGCATTGGCACTGGACTTGCTAAATTTCATGCAGTCTCTGAGCTCAGGAGACTCAGCAGTAAAACCAGCTATGGTCTTAATTGGGTTCGCAGTATATGGAGTGACAGGTAATGTTATTTTTACTCAGCCTGGCTACAATCTCTAGAAATCTCTGGTCAATCACTGCGCTGTTCTTTTAACCTTAATGTGACATTTCCCACCCCCCCAAATTCTGTGATGTGTGTCTTATGTAATATTTTTCCAGCTCATAATCTATTAATGAGAATTACATCCACGTCCTTGGGTTCTGTCACTTTCCGTGCAAATACATGACCATTTAGAACCTCATCTTATTTCAAGAAACCACTGTATACTGTTCCCCTCTCTCCACATTTCTCCCAGTTAATATGTCATGTTCTGACTCCGCACCCCCTCCTGAGAGCCCTGCAATCTGTCTCCCTGTTCCTCCACTCATATTTTTCTCACCACTGTTTCCATTTCTAATACATTGAATGGAATTTTCCCGGTCTCTCATCTTCCTCAGTCTCCCTGCATGTTCAGCTGCTAACCAGCTCTTTCTTCTTGGACATTTCTTCTTGCCTCCTGCTGGGACCTCGTCCCTCTTGGCAACTTCCTTGCACCTGATAGGACTCCAAGCCAGCTTCACAATTGCACTGTGCTGCACACTCCTGTATTTGTTTCTTTTTGTCCCCACAAAGGATTTGATGGCCAAGATCACTTATTGTACTATTTTGTGGCTCTTCCAATGGGCCTAGCTAAGGGCTGAGCAGATGATATTTAATTTAATTAACACTCCCGTACTCTGGCTTCTGGCTTCCAGACTTAATGATACCACAACCCTAATTAAGTTTAGCAGTTGATGAAGTCAGTGGTCATATCAGGATCATTTGCCTGATAAATAACAGATCATAATCCGTTCCAGGCCAAAATGACCAGTGACATCCTGACAATAAACTGCTTCACCTTGGGGGCACCTTTTGTTTTTTCTTTTCTTTTCTTTTCTTTTTTTTTTTTACCATTTCCTTTAGACAAAAAAAAGGAAACCAAGGTAAAAACAACAACAACAACAACACCCAAGAGCTTATTGCTGATTTGAAATCATTTTGCTTCCAAGTCTTATCAAACCATCTCAAATGCTTTGTTGACATTATCTGCTAACTACTGTAATCCATCTTCCCAAATGGAGAAAGGCTCCGGGCTGTCAAACAGGGCTGCCAAACAAGACCGTCAGTGCAAAGATCTGAGGTCACCCTCCGACTGTTGCTTAGAGCACGCACCACCAGGCCAGCTGTCTGCGCAGGGCCTCTGGGCCGCTTCGAAAGGGTAATATTTACAGTGTCAGATAGCTGGGCACTGTGGAGCTTAATGGGATTCTTAATAAAGGCAGCTTTCATTAAGACAGGGAGCATAGGAAAGGTGCCCTTGCTTTTGAGAAAAGGACGACCTGGCACAAGACGGATGCTCCTTCTCTGTTTGGAAATCATGTGGGTCAAGTGCCTTGTCATGCATTAACAGCCTTTTTAAGTTCCTGGCAGATTGAGAGGACTGGCTTAGATAAATGAAGGAAAAGGAATCACGCAATCTGTCTTGGTAGCATAAACGCTGAGACACAACAGCTGCATTTAAACAGAGCAATTTGCTAAATGAGTGGTTGGCTACGTTCCAGATGGCCAATGTGACACGGGGCTTGGATGAATCCTTTATTCAATCATGCATCTGTCTAGACTGAGGCAGGAAAGGCCAGGTTATCACCCCTGCACCAGCCGCCCGCAGCCGCAGCCGTGGCAGCTCTGAACCCTTTACATAAACCCGGCTCCGTCTCGCTGGTGAGGCAGCTTGGCCAGAGACCAGCTGGGGAGGATGGAGCAGCATGGCGTGCGGGGAGCTTCTGGGAAAGCCAGCTTCTCCACTGAAGGATGGCCAGCTGGGAATCGGGGTGCCTACCTACCTACTTCGCCCGCCTACCGGGGATTCTCAGCCAGGTGATCTTAACAGGAAGAAGCAGTAAAGCTTAGAAAGCACAAATGTTGGTTGGGTTCTATGTGTTTCCTTTACATGCACATTTAAATCCTTTCACACGTGTTTCGTCTTGATTCTTCTAGCTTGGTTGTAAAATTCCCAAGGCAAAGAATATCCTTCGCTTTGACCTGTGACCCCACTCGGCTTCCCCTTCTCTCCGCCTCTGACACTTGTTTCAGTCCTGACCCAAGCACCCCTTTAGAGATGATATCAGAAATATTGGCTGGCGAGGCCGGTGGGTAGACCAGATGATCACTCAGTCCTGGGGCCTCTGGGTCTATGACACACGTTGACTGACTGATGTTAACTAGATCAGGTGAAACAGGGCCACTTGATGGGTAGCTTGCCCAACTTTAATAAAATAGGCAAGCATCTAACTTCATTGGGCTGTTATGGGAAAGGCAGCTCTACTGACCTATTTCTCTCTGGTAAGTTATACCACAAGCCTATTTAATTTTTATTATTGTATTGAAAGTTTCCACGGTGATGGTTTCACTATGTTCCTTAGCAAGCTATTTGAGTTTCATGGCTAGAATGTTCTGACTGGTTAGTAAACAAGCCTCCCCACTCTACCCTGCCTCCCCCGCCCCAAGCCTCTGGGACTCCACTCTGAACAGCGACAGGGACAGCGGCTTCCTCTTACTTCTGACTCAGGAGGAAAAGTTTAACCTGATGAATCACCAGCACTTCCTGTGACTTTCTGAGGAAAACTACAGTTTACTGAGGAAGAACTCTGAAGCACTTCACTTCCTCCTGTTTCTGAGCTACACAGGGTGGAAAAATTTGAGTCCTGCTCTGTGCCCATCTACCATAGCTTTCTCACCAACATTTTTCCCTCTTGGAAGTTTCCGATCATCGGGGCTACACTGACCCTACATTTAGCCTGAAATAAATGAATCAAATGAACAAGGCTGTCCCACAGTAGGATCTAGCATTCTTCCTCTGCCTGTCTGGCCCAGACGCCGTGTCTTTTGTAACCATTTGAACCCCATTTCCTCATCTGTACCACAAAGTACAGAAAATGATTTGTGGGACAATTTTTTTTTAATTCTTCCAAGATAGTATATAATCAGCATCACTCTAGATGCATAGGTGAGAAGCTAATGCATACACAAGAAAGGCATTTGGGCATGGTTGCCTTAGACTATATCAGTGGAGGGCTTTATTCTAGAATCTAGAATATTCTAGTAGTAGGTATGCCAAAAGTTCAGAGCAATGAAGTCACTGAACTCAGAGATAATTACAAGGCCATTCAAGTCCTTGCAATGAGGAAAAAGCTCAGAAAGGGTATAAAGGTAGATTATTTATCTTAAACAGCTTTCTTAATTTGAGGAATGCAAATAACACTGATGAATATTATCAAGTGATCTTTAAGTGCAGAAGCTTGGGCTAGATGCAACAATCGAAAGAAGTCCAAGGACAATCAAGAGAGACTTGGTAGTATGATGCTGGTGAACCAAGTCCCCCTTGCCTTTGTCAGCAGATTGCAAATGTAGCTTCCCTTATGCTGAGTGTGACTGGGTCCTCAACTACAGGTCCTCAATATGTGACCTCCAAGAAGGATACAAATTGTGACCGTGACGCCGGCCAGAGGGATGATTGGGTGACAAATCCGGCCAGTGCTTCTGCTTTATAATAAACGCATTTCTCTCTCAGGTACAACTGGTGGCTTTGCTAGATGGCAACACGAACTCTTTAGTGCTACATCCACTGTAAGCCTTCTTCTAGCCTAAAGAAAAATTTGGGTTTTTTTTTAAATAAACATCAAACGAGGACTCAGACATTTTTTTAAATGTCATGGCTTTTTAACATTCAAATATAGCTCCACAAAGAGCCCTCCACGATTGACATTTTATCTTATTAAAGTGCTGTTAATTAAGAACCTGAGCCACTAGCAACAGCGACTAAATCAACAGACTCCGGCAAACTATTCCTGACATAAAATGCAACTCTGATTTGCTCAGAAGCTACATCAAAGGACCACAGTAAATCGGCTCCTTCGCATCTAGTCCACTAGGGGGCAGTAAATGATCGAGTTTCCAGCAGGCGGCTGCACTGCCTGTTGGTTGCTATATATACACCTGAAGTGTGGCAGGCCTTTTACACAAAGTGAGCAGCGCCGAGGCAATGACAGGTGTGGGGAGCAGCCAGTTATTGCTACCAGCACAGTCTGTCAGAAGGATGAAGTGAAATGAATCATTTGCATTTTTACCAATGAACCTGCATTATAATAAACAGGCAGCGTCGCCCGGATCGGCCCTGGCTTCACCTTCCTGGCTTTTCCGCCGGACCGCACCCGGGACTGCAGCAAGGAGACAGGCAGAGCCAGGGAGCCCTATTTACCAGGCGCCTGGGGACCACAAGGCACCACTGCCCCGCGGCCGGGGAGGGGGTGGGGTGCTTCCCTCTTCCATTCCATTTCCGGTGCCAGTGTCCAACTGAGGGATTCCAAGCCCCGGAGAAGCCGTGCAGCATAAATCCAGGGACACCACTCACCTCCTAGTCTGTGTGAATGGCGCCCCCTACAGTTGGGCAGAGCGCAGATCATTCCCCGCCCCCACCATGGGGGCTCCGGGCTGTGGGTCTCCGCACAAGGGCCCATCTGCTCTCTTCCTTGCTCCTCATTTCTAAAAATCTGCACTCAAAGGCTTTAGGGAAAAGTAGAGACTAAGACAACGCCTGAGCAAAATGAGGACCTCTTGGATTTCGGTGTCCACAATGACCCCATCCTCCTTCTGCCTCTATCCGGCTTCCTCTAGTCCATTCAGGATCTCTGCCCTTGCTAACACTTCCTTCCCAGGACACTGGACTTCAGTTGTGTTTATGGCACGCTGTCTCCTCTCCCCTGGGAATCTGCATTTAAACCTTATCTCTAATTGTCAAAACAAAATACAGAGAAAGGAATCCTCCCTCCTGCCCCTGATTAGCAAGAGCCTCAGGTGCCTCCTGGGAAGACCAACCAGCTGTGCCACTGCCCACTGTTGCTCCGATATTAATGCTTTCAGGGTGACTCCCTCATTCCAGGAAAAATGAACCTGGAACATCCCCTCTGTCATACATGAAAGTCAGTAAGGCATAATGGTTAGACACACACACTTGGAGCAAACTGCGTGGGTTCAAATCCCAGCCTGTCACCTCCCGGTACCATATACTTTTAAAAACAGCATGACTGCTTTGCGCCTCAGTTCCTCCATTCTCACAAACGGCAGCCATGACATGACCTTGTGGTTTTAATTGAATGGATCTAGTGGAAGGCACTGCGCACAACACCAGGCATGTGGGTGCGTGCTTCATATACGTTACCTTTTAGTGTTTTATTTGACATAATGCTGTATTTCCTATTCATTTTGTCTCAGCTTTGAGACAGGGACACTCCTACCCTCCTTTCTCCCCCAGTTTTCTGGCCTCCAAATAAGTGCCTACTGCTCTCCTTCCACCCCCTACCCCTGCCCCCACCCCACCTACCTTATCATCGCCGTAGAGAATCAGGCACTTGTCAGGATCCTCATAACTGAAGAAGAGAATGCAAAGAGAAAACATCTTCAGACACCAAGAACAAGCCCGGGGATGGGGGGTAGAGTCTGACAAATGTCCTTTATGTCATGCCCGTGTTCTATTTGTAGAACCGTCTCGGAAATAGGCACTTGTTTACTTGCCTAGATCAGAAGTGATTTCAGACTCTCTTCATTTAATCGTCTGCTTCCGCCACGCAGCTTCATAATTAAAATGAGAAACTTATTTATAAAGCCGGTGCCGGAGCCGTGAGAGAACCGTGAGGAGGTGCTCCTCTGTGAGGCTGACTCTAAACCATGTGGCCAGCCTGGAGGGAGTGGCAGGGACATCTCAGATGGGAGGGATCCCTCTTGTCAGGTGAGAGCTGGAGGGAGTGTGGGGAGGACGAGTGGCTCCCCAGCCCAAGTGTGTAAGATGGAAAGTGAGGGCATTCCTTTTAAAGAGAGGCCAGATTCTTATGGGGGAATGTGATAACTCCTGCCTTGGGTAGAGGCTGGCTCCCAGGATTTGGGTGAGCACTGGCGGGTGCCAGGACTGCCCCCTGGAGGAAGGCTTGAGCACAGGTGGCTTTGGCAGGAGAGGCGGGCATGGCAGGGAGGAGGGATGAAGACGCTGAAGGAGTAGAGGAGGAGGTGGTGAGGAGAGTGGGCAACAAAGTAGCCAGACCCTGAGTGTGCAACCTTTTTCTGTGACCCATCGAATCTTCAGTTTTGTCCACAAAAATCACAAAATGCTTGGTGCAGTCAGATTTCTTGTCAAAGCCAGTGAAGTTGCTGTGCGGCCACAAGAGGTGGGTCCTCACCCATGTCTGGAAACAGCAAAGTCCCAGCTGCAAGGCTTGTTTGACCTTACGTGGCCACATTAACTCTGGTGAACAGTTCATCACTTTATATTAGGTTTATTGACTGTTCTTCTATTCCCAAAGACAAGAAAGGACCTACTAGAGACATTTCTCTCTGTGTCAGGACCAGAAATCCACCGGTCTATTAAACACTTTAATTGTTATCTTATAGATACTATGATGCTGGCCATGGATGTTGTTTCCTTCCTTTTTTCTGATTTCTAGGAAGTTTAAAAAGAAACATATTACTCATTTCTAAATATTGTTTGGGGTGTCATGGAGTATATTTTGTTCACTGATGTTATCTTTCTATACACATTTTTTGTCTTTACCCTCATTCACATAAACGCATGCATATTATCTTTTATTTTATTCTGTACTCATTGCTAGAAGCATTCCCAAGTTCTCTTTTAGACAACGTGGTTATTAATACACAAAAACACCAATAAGTACATTTTTGTCTCTTCTGAAAGTTTTTAGTAAAAGAACTGTTCTTCGAGTTTTGTAGTCAAATCTTTTGTTCATCTTTTCTCGACTGCTATCTCTTGAGTCCTGCTTTTGCAAAAGACTTTTTTAATCCCAATTATTATTAAGATAGTCTCTTATATTTTCTCCTAGTATCCATTTCAAAAATATTTAGATCTCTATCTGGCATTAATTTTTATGTATACTGTGATACAAAGACTTAATTTTTTTCTGCTAAATATACAGCCAACAGTTATTTGTTAGACTTTTCTTCCACTAATTTGAAATATCTGGCTTAACAAATACTACTTCCCATTTAAACATAGGTCTATCATCAATCTTTTTGTCTCTTCTTTACACCAGCATCTTATCTCTTTCATTTACTGTAATTTAATAGCATGCTTTAATATCAGATAGCTCAAGTTCTTCCTCGCCATCCTTTTTCAACATTTCTTGGCCATTTCCCCATATGTACTCTTCCAGATGAACTTTAGAATCAACTTGTTGAGCTCCAAAACAATCTCATAGAGATTTTGATAGGAATTCCACTGAATTTGACATTTAACTTGGGGAGAGGTGACATCTTCACAATATTGAATTTTCCGATCCAGGAACATAGTCACTTCCCATTTATTTGGGCTTTCTTTCACGTCTTCAGAAAGGTTATCTCTCTATTTCAACATTTCTTGTTAAGGTTATTTCTGGGAATATTCAATTATGTACCAATTTCTTCCTCAGAGAAGAAGTGAGAAAAACAGTAAGGAGTCAAGTTCCCCATGGCCAGGCATTCCTGTTATGCAGCCATATTCACTGCAAAGACTCGACATACCTTTTCCTAGCAATCAGCCCACATACAACACTGAAAGTACTAAGAACGGTTGGTGAGTTAAGTAAATTATTAAAAAAAAAAAAAAAAAGAAAGAAAGTAATGCATATCTCTCAAGAAGACAAAGATCTGAGGTTTTCTACTAAGCTATCAAAAAGACCTGTTTGGACCAAAAGAAAATTTCCCTTTATCTCATAGAAAATTTAAAATATAGAATTTGACTCCTTGCATATTGTCATTCTCCCCAACACTACTCTTTCCATAATTCTTGGGAGATAGTATCAATCATAAACCCTCCACCCAGCCTACTGATTTCTCATGCCCGTACAATGGTTTTGTCTTCTACCATGTTGCAGCCACTCACCGCCACAGTCAAACTCTCGATTTAGTCATGACTAATAACTGCAACCCTCCAGAATCTCAATATCAAACATTCTACCTCCAGTCTTTTCAGCCTGTTCACACAATACTCTGGCTCTAACTCCAGGACTTCCAACCCCATGATCCTAACACATTTTCACTGTCTTTCATGCCTCATTTGCCTTCATATGTGGCTTAGATTCCATGGTCAGTTATAACCACTTCCTCATGTGTGTGCCATCAACTTTCTCTTGTATTGTTCTTTTTTGGAACAAGCACACCCCTGATTTGGTTTGACTTTTCCCCACCCCGTGCATGAGTATGTGGCTGGAGACAAAACACACAACTGTGCTGAGTGGTCTGACTTCAGCTTCATGACCACAAACCACAAGTAAGCGCCTAGTGCTTCCTGGCAGCCCTCTCCCACTCTCCAGGACCGTTTCCCACTTCCTCCTTTGTCTGAAAATCTCCCACACCGCCTCCCCATTCCCATTCTCAGATCCAGATCTTGCTTTCTAAGTCACTGAGAAAATGGAAACCCTTAAAAGAGACCTCCAGGGGCACCTGAGTGGCTCAGTCGGTTAAGTGTCCGACTTCAGCTCAGGTCATGATCTCGCAATTTGTTGGGTTCAAGCCCTGCATCAGGCTCTGTGCTGACAGCTCAGAGCCTGGAGCCTGCTTCAGAGTCTGTGTCTCCCCTTCTCTCTGCCCCTCCCCTGTGCATGCTCTGTCTCTTTGTTTCTCAATAATAAGTGTATGTTTAAAAAAAATTTTTTTTAAAAGAGAGAGAGAGAGAGATCTCCACCATATCCCACCACATATGCATACATTCACCTGCACCCAGACCCACCTCCTCAGCTTTCTCTTGGGTCTCACTGACGAACTTCCAGCTCCTAACGGAAGTCAGACCCTCACATGCGCCCTGGACCCCACCCTCTCTTGCCCACCCAAGGCTATCGTTCAGCATTTCCCCTCATTCTCTCCTGCTTTATGAATGTTCTGGGTCAGCACACAAACATATTCTCATTTCTCTCATTGCGGAAAATCAGTCTCGATCCCCTGGTGCCTCCAACTATCACCCCAATTTTCTCCTTCCCTTTGCAGAAGAGTTACTTGAGACAAGGGTTCATACTGCTGCCTCAGTTTCTTTTCTTGTTCCCACGTGAAGGCATTCCCATCAGGCTTTCACCCCACCTCGCACAAAACCGCAGTGAGCCCCAGTGGAAATTCCAGGTCCTCATGTTTCCAGCAGCTGCACTTGACACTGGTCACCCCAGGTTTGAATGCCCCCGACTTGGGCCTCGCTACCTGCACACTTATCAGCCTAAGGGCTTTGCCTCCATCTCTTTATGTGAATGACCCCAACTCTGCACAACATGCACACTTGTGACCACCCTGAATTTCTGATCTTTTTATCTTCACAGCACTTCCCACTCTGTAGTGTCCTACAGACTCATATACTGACTATTTATTGACTAAAAGCCCGGCTCTGCTAGGGCAAGGGTTCTTGCCTGTTTTCTTCACTAACATGCCCTAACTGCCCAGCACAGTGTTGGGCCCATAACAAGCTACACTGATCTTCATTGCTGATGCAGTCATACACCTGCAGGCATGTCCCACCACACAGCTGCTGGCCTTGCCCGGAAACTTCATGGCTCACGATTGTTCTGCCTTCAAGTCCATCCTCCACTGGCACCTGATGAGCTCTGCTCTTCTAGTCCCTTCTGTGCTACATTTCATCTCTTTAGTCCTTATTCCCTAACATCCTACTCACTGGTTTCGCATATTGCTATCTCTTCCACTAGAATGGAAGTTCCTTGAGAGCATAGCTTTCACCTGTCTCTTTCACTGCCATATCCCCAGCACCCCAAACAGTGCCTGGCATATATCTTTGGAAGCACTTACTTAGAAAGCATCCTTTATAAAGTTCTCTGTGATCCACTTGCACCCTCACCGTCATGGGCATGGACTGGAGGACAGTCCAGCACCAGCTGGACACACTATGTCTGGCCTGCACACCGCACCAATTTCTTGGGGTGGTCCTCATTCACCCTTGGCTGCTTAGCCTCCAAGCCCCATGCCATTACCAGCCTCAGCCAATACCACAGCCTGTCCTGGAGGCCACAGGGCTTCCTTTCTCAGCCCCAGGGCTCCCATGATGTGTGGCCTCTCTGCTTTCTGAGCCTCAGCCAAACTCAGAGGCCACCTTGCCCACTCTGGGATTTGTTTTCCGACTGAATGTGTAAGGACACAAGTCTAAACGTCTAAACCAAACTGACTCCATGACAGGCTTTAATTTTCCCCTCTAAACTAGAAGGCCTAAGTTTCAGCTTCCCCGAAACTATCAGGCAGTTACACATTGCCCAAGGCAGGAGAAACCACCCTTGCAACACCCAAACAGGAAAGCCAGCGACCACCCTCCACATTACTAAGGGAGAGGCCTGGAGATAGAAACTATAGATAGAACCCTGTTACCTAATGTTAAAGTTAACCCGTTAGTCGGTTA